CTCCCTCTCTTCCCCCCTCTCTTCCCCCCTCTCCCTCTCTCTCTTTCTCTCCCTCCCTCTCCCTCTCCTGTTTCTACCATGTGAGTCCAGGGATTAATCTCCGGTCAGGTTGGCAGGTTTGGCAGCAAGCACCTGTACTTACTGAGACAGGCTTTCCTGCTGAAAAGGCTGGCCTGGAACTCCTGAGCACTGGGTTTGTTTTTAGGATAGAAAAGTTAACAAACACAATTGAGGGAGTGACTTGCAGAAGACATTAATATAGGAAGTAGGGAGGTGCAAGATATGGGGTGGGGGTGGGATGTAGGAAGTGAATCACAGAATAAGACTGAAGCCTGCAGAGCAGGAGACTTGTGCATGCCAGAGACTGGGAATCTGAGGGACATGTGGTCTATTTGGTATTGTAAGGACTAGGAATTGGGCAATGCTTTAATAGTAGTTTGTAAATTTATTTGACCTTGACCTACAGTATAAAACACATTTTATGGTACCCATAAAATACTATACCATATAATAGAAATTAAATGCTACCATATTTACTCTGAAAATTTTCAGTTCTGTCCCATTCTTTAGAGGTTTCAATTGGGATCCACTAAGTCAGTGATCCTTAACCTCTTTTGAAGTCAGTGCCCCATTTATTTTTACAACATATTTTAAACTTTTTTTTTTTAATTTTTAAAATTTTATTTAAGGAGATCAGAAGAGGCTGTCAGATCCCCTGGGACTGGAGTTACAGACAGTTGATAGCTGACATGTGGGTGCTAGGATTCAAACCCGGGTCCTTTGCAAGAACAACCAGTGTTCTTAACCACTGAGCCATCTCTCTAGCCCCTTACAACGTATTTTAATACCTGCTGATTATCCGGGAATACAGTTAATGTATGACCTTTTTAAAAAAGTTGTCTTTATTTTACATGTATGAGTGTATTGCCTACATGTGTGTAAATACACCTGTGTCATGCAGTGCACGCAGAGATCAGAAGAGGGTGTTGGATCCCCTGGAACTGGAGTTATAGACAGTTGTTAGCCACCACCATGTAGGTGCTGGGAACCGAACCTGGGTCCTTTGCAAGAGCAGTCAGTGCTCTTAACCATTATGCCGTCTCTCCAGCCCCCACCTCTTTTTTAAAAATTCCATTATTTTTATTTTACACTTACATGTAGGTATGAGTATTACCTGCTTGTATGTGAGTGCACCTATGGTGTACAGTGCCCACATAGGTCAGATGAGGGTGTCAGATTCCCCTGGAACTAGAGTTACAGGTAGTTGTTAGCCATCTGAGTGCTGGGAATGGAACTCGGGTCCTCTGAAACAGCAGCCAGTGCTCTTAACTGTTGAGCCATCTCTCCAGCCTCCCCCCCCCACTTTTTTTTTTAACAACCTTAGACACTACAATGATGTAGTTGAGCGCCTACATCTACTTAAATGAGTTTGGATTTAAAAGAAGATAAAAGTCATACTCAATTTTTAAAAGTATAGAAAGGGCCAGGTCTGGTGGTGCACACCTTTAGTCCCAGCACTCTGGGAGGCAGAAGCAGGCTGATCTCTGTGAGTTCAAGGCCAGCTGGGGCTACAGGGAAACCCTGTCTCAAAAAAAAAAAAAAAAAAAAAAATGTGTAGGAAGGGCGCTGGTCATTAACCCTAATGCCTGGGAGTTGTGGTATGGAAATTTGAGTTAGATAGGCCAGCTGGGCAGCATAGCAAGACCCTGTCTCAAAAAAGATTGGAGAAAAAGAAAGAACTAGAGATATGTAGAGATACATATATTAAATAGAATGGAAACTATTTGAAAAAAATAAAACGTTTATAAATGGTGAATCTTTTAAGGGATCTTAGATAATCTTAGTTTTGATTTTGTTGTTTATATTTTCAATTTTCTGATTAAACATCTGGTGAGATACTTAGTATCCCAGGGAATACTAAACAGTTCTGCACTGCCTGTCCTGTGTATGTCAAGACTCTTAGTAGCTTTGGCATTTCCCCAGCAGATGCTAGTAAAGCCCCCATCACTGAGTACCCTCTACAGAGTAAACATGCCTGCTGGGAGAGGGGTCTCTGTTGATAGCTACAGTAGCTTAATCAGTTTCACTGTCATCAGCCAAAAGGCTTTTTGATTCTCCTAAAATTGATAGACTTAATTACATGATTGCATATACAGGATTGTTGTTTTCCCAGTGTTGATGGATCTGTTTCAGTTAGCATTGTCAGGTTCTCAGACTACAAGTATTAATGACAGGTTAATTCATTTGGCCACTGATTTACATGGGACCAGTTTCTCACTAAATTTTTCAAAGTATATTTTAGTTTGTCTTTGTTTTAAAGCTTGAGGACCATTTTATTAGTTTAAGAGAAAAACATAGTACAGGTTAGATGAAAATTCTGGCAGCCACCAGGAGGAAAAATGGAGAAAAAAAAATCATGCCTTTAAAGGTAGGAGTAGGAATAGAAGTAGAGACAGCTTATTAATAAAGGAAGTAGGCTATCTTTAAAAAAAATCTGAGACAAGGTCTCTCTTGCCTCAGCCTTCTGAGTGTCAAGATTAAAGGCGTGTGCCATCCCACCTGGCTCTTCAGTTTGTCTTTTAACTTCTGGTAATACATATATTGACTAAATTGTAAGAGAATCCTCCTTTAAACTAAGTGCCTTCCTGTTTGCTTATTTTCTTATAATAAAATTTCTACTTTGGATTAAACTTCAATTTACAGAGAAGTTGGAGCAACGGTAAAGGTACTCCCATATACTCCTCACTCAGTTGCCCTTGTTGTTAACATCTTAACATTACCATGGCACATTTATCAAGAAACTAGGCAGCTGGGAGACAGCTCAGTGGTTAAGAGCACTGACTGCTTTACTAAAGAACTATGGTTCAGTTCCCAGCAGCCACATGGCTGCTAACAACCATCTGTGACTCCAGTTCCAAGGGATCTAATGCCCACTTCTGACCTCTTCAGGTGTTGCATGCACAAGTGTACTTACATACAAAATAAAACTAATTTCTTAAAAGAAAACAATTTAAAAAATTGTATCTGTACTATGTATCCACCATTTTTTATTCTTTTTGCTAGGCCAGCTGTTTACCCTGCAGACTTTTCTTAATAATAATCTCTGATATTGTATAACAACCATTTGCATCACTATTACATGTGTTCTAGGTAGGTATTATAGGTGATCAGCAAGGTGAGCATAGGTTATATGCAAATACTGTACCATTTTATATAAAGGACTTGAGCATTTGAGGATTTGGGTGTAGCAGGGGTGGTCCTGGAAACAGTCCCCTTCAGGAACTGATAGATTATATGTTTTCTAACTCTCTAGGGAAAGCACCATATTTAAGAGGATCAGGTTTCCATTGGGCGTCTTAGGTATGACACGCCATTTGTTCACCTGTGCCTTTCATGTTTTCTTAAGTGGATTCGGAGAAGAGGCTGATTAGTTTGCTTTATCCAGCGTGGTGGTATTTCCGAGTCTCCAAATGCCAACATGTTAAAAAGGTAACTATAACTGAACGATGAAGTAGAAGAAAAAGCAGAATCGCTTCAGTCTGAGAGAAAGGAGTCTGCAGCAGAAGACAGTAAAGAATTCATGCTGTTGCCATCTAAAATTGAAGTATTAGAGAAATCATGGAGAGATTCTGTACACTTTGATTACAATATAGGCTCTCGAGGGGCCTAGAGGGTTTTTGGCATTCTTTCATTGGCAACTCTTGTGCTCCATGTTTTTTAGAAGAGAAGTGAAGTTAACTGAAGTAGCAGAAAACCTGGAATTTAAAACTTACTGATAGATTCTAAATGGTGTCGCACCTTTAATCCCAGCACTAGGGAGACAGAGGCAGGCCAACCTGGTCTACATAGTGAGTTCCAGACCAGCTGGGGCTACCCTGTCTCTAAATAACTAAATAAATATTCTAAGGAAATTTCAATTAGAGGAGAATTTGCAGCATTTGATTGCCCTTCAAGTTGTTTTTTACATCCTTTTTATTTTTTATTTATTTTTATTTTATGTGTATGTTTTCCCTGCTTGTATATAAGTGCTTGTATGTAATTGCCTGTGGAAACCAGAAGAGAGTATCAGATCCCCTGGAATTGGAGTTTTGGACAGTTAGCCACCATGTGGGTGTTGGGAAAAGAACCCTGGTCCTCTGCAAGAGCAGCCAGTGTTCTTAACTGCCCAGCCATCTCTCCAGCCCCCCAGTTGGCCTTTTAGTTTGATTTGGTTTTGTTTTCTGTTTGTTTGTTTTTTTCATCTTAGTGCTAGTTCTCTTAATATCACTTGTAGTTGCTATTATAAAAAGTATAGTTATAAGAATAATCTATTGTAAAATAAATTAACATCTGATACATTCTTTTTAAATAAAGAGGGGAGAAGAAGACAGACATGCATGCTATAGCACACGTGGAGATCAGGGGACAGCTTGTGGGAGTCAGTTGTCTTTTCCACTATGTGGGTCCCGAGAATTGAACTGGGGTCTTCAGGCTTGGCAGCAAGTGCCTTTACCTTCTGAAACATGTCATTGGCTCCTCTGACACAGATTCTTCTCCTTTTCTTTCTTTTTAATTTTTTTATGTGTATGAGTGTATTGCCTGCATATATGTAAGTGCAGCTGTGCCATACAATGCCCACAGAGGTCAGAAGAGGGCATCAGATCCCTTGGGACTGGAGTTACAGTTGGTTAGCCACCATGTTGGTGCTGGGAATCAAACCCAGGTCCTCTGCAAGAGCAACCAGTGCTCTCTACACGCTGAGCCATCTCTCCAGCCCCTGATACATTCTTAAGACTCTTTAAAGAGAAATCTAATACACATAACAATAGGAAAAGATCCACTAAACTTTTCATAAGGAATTGGACATTATGAGAGAACACTTAGGTGGAATATGGAGAAGGAAAGAGGATCTTCTCTCCTAAATCTTAAAAGAAGGGGCCTTGCTGTGGTCTAGTATAAATGGGCAAATGTAAAAAGATGTAGTGAGAGTCTAACTGTGAAAGCTTTTTTAAAAAATGTTAGCTTTTGGGGAAAGTTTTGACTCCCCTACCTGGAATACTGGCTCCTGTAGGAGATGGCTCAGGCTGCACCAGTGGGACATTAGGAGAGATTAAGGGGGGTAGGCAGAGAGTAAGTCATTTTTTAAAATTATTTTTATTTTGTATGTATTAGTGTATTGCATGCATGTAAGTGCAGTCATGTGTGCAGTGCCCACAAAGGTCAGAAGAGGGCATTTGAATCCCCTGGAACTGGAGTTATGAACAGTTGTTAGCCACCATGTGGGTACTGGGAATTGAACCTGGGTCCTCTGCAAAAGCAGCCAGTATTCTTAACTGCTGAGCCATCTCTCCAACCCTGAGAGTAAGTCTTAACTCAGCACAAGGCCAGGTGCGATTCACAGGACCATTAGGTTTATGTTCCACTTTACTACTCATGCCTGAGCCTTCTATTTTGAGATTTTCATGAGCTTTGCTTGAATTATCTTTTTGTGAATAGTACCAAAAATTTAAGGTGACGAGGCGCATTTCTTTTATTTCCAAGGAACTTTTTGAATGACATACTTTCTCTTCAGTCATGCATAGTGCTGTGTCATTTCCCATATATACTTCCTACCCATTTATGGCTTCAGTTTACCTGTAGTGTCTAGAATGGCCTCTCCCTCTATGATGTACTAAAATGCCCTTATATACTCATTGAAGAATTTTATCTTTTTACTGAAAGAAACAGTCGGATGTGGTGGTGGCACACAACTTTAATTCCCAGAACTCAGGAGACAGATCTCAAAACAACAAATTTAAAAGTAAAAGTAATTATTTGCCATTATAAAAATATATATGAGCCGTGGTGCACGCCTGTAGTCCCAGCACTTGGGAGGCAGAGGCAGGTGGATCTCTTGAGATTGAGGCCAACCTGGTCTACACAGGGAGTTCTAGGCCAGCTGGGGCTACTGATCTTGTATTAAAAGGTATTTATTTTTTTAATTATTTAGTATTTTTATTTTATATGTATGAGTGTTATGCCTGCATGTAGGTAAGTGCACCCATGTTGTGCAATGCCCTCGGAGGACAGAAGAGGCTGTTGGATCTTCTGGAACTGGAGTTACGGACGTGAATCTCTGGTCACTGTTCCATCAGTGGATCATTATATATAATCATGTTTTCTGTTAATTTCTGTTAAAAGACGTCAGCATCTGTTGTCAGATTCATTATTGAGTGCCTAGACAGCAGCACTGAAACCCATGCCTGAACTCTGCTATGTCTTAGGAACACTAGGCAACACTTCATCTTTGCTCTTGGGGTTTGCTTTAGCAAAATCATCAATAAATAAATAGCACAAATAATTTTTTTTTTTAATGTGGCACTTAAAGCAGACCGTGCAAAGTACCCTGGTTTGCATTATGGAAGGCAGAGCTTGCCTTGAGGTAGACCTCAGTGGGAAGCATACTTATCTGCTTATGTGAAAGCATTGCAAGTACTGATAGAGTTTATGTATGTGCACATATATCCACATACAGAAAGCCAGGGAGTGGCTCCCCTCCATGAGGGACTGTGAGCTGTAAGGGGAAATATACACTGTCCTCAAGTTGGTTTTGGTCAGTGTTTTATCACAGCAACAGGAAAACAAAGTAGGACAGCATCCTTGCCTGAAAGCTGCACATTAAAGACATGACCAAAACTGAAGAGGCACCTGGATACCTTGTGGGTAGACCCACAGCTAGACTGACCACCTCCCCATGCCTCACCTTACTTCCTGCTCTCAGTGCTATAAAAGCCCTCAGAAGAGCAGCTCAATGGTACCCCATTTCCTGGGATTCACTTGCTATACTGGAGCTCTGCCTTCTCTTTCTTAAGCTTCCAGTAATAAAATACTTCTTTCAAAAACTCAAAAAAAAAAAAAAAAAAAAAAAAAGCCATGTAGGTCTAGGATAGTTAGTAGAGTGGAATGTGGAATAAACCTTTAGTGTTCACATTGTGAAATTCAAGTTGTATGTTTCTATTTTGTATCTGTTTCTTTGTTAAACTTCAGTGAAAGTATAAACAGTACCATGGCCTTAGGATCTGGGTGATGACCACCCTCACTTTCTGGTGCTGGGGATTGAGTGTAGAGCCTCACAGGTTGGCAGAGTGCCCTACCACTAAGCTCTGTCTTCCAGCCCTCCATCCTCCAAACCTTGACTTAAACTGTTCCAGTGTAGTGTTGCTGCCTGTCCACTGTGTGACTACAACCCACCACTTCATTGTCTTTCTGAAGATGTTCATTGCTGTTCTTTCTGGTTGCACCTAATGATTTCTGGTTTCCATGCCACTTTTCAGCCCTTCCTTATTCATTTAGCTTCTGTAGTTCTGGAAAAAGGATATAACTACATAGGAAATAATTTTTTTGAACTTAACATGTGTGAAAAAGTCTGTTACCCTCATGCTTTTGAATGATGACTTTCCTAGGCAGAGAAGTAATTTGGAGCCTTGTTGGCATTTTAGTGTATTAACTTGTATTGTATTACTAGTAATTGTATTAAAGATAATCCCCCCCACATACACACACACACACACACACACACACACACACACACACACTTGGTGAGACAGGGTTTTGCTATGCAATCCAGACTGTCCTCAAATTTGTGATCCTGCCGTTAGGGGCTATCACATCTAGTCCAGCTAGGAGGATTCTTGATCTTGTGAGCAACCTCTCTCTACTCATTTCCTCTATCTCTCTTCTGTGAGATGTTCCTTTTTGTGTAGGTTCTTCTGAAAGGTAATTTGTGTAGGATCCTTTTTATCTACCATGTTGAGTGCCCTTATGGGCACTTGGATTTTTTTTTTTTTTTTTTAATTTTTTTTTTTGTGTTGGGTGTAGGTGGGTGCCAGTGGAGGCCAGAAGAGGGTGTCGAGTCTGCTGCAGCTGGATTTGCAGGTGTTTATGAGCAGCCTGATATGGGTGCTGGGAACTGAACTCTACTTCCTCTGCAAGAGCAGTAAGAACTCTTAACCACTGAACCATCACATCAGTCCCAAAGGCACTTTCAGTCTCACAATTCATGTTCTCTGGGAAGTTTTCTTAAATTATTCTGTCATTTTCTCCTCCATTTTCTCAGTTTCAGATAATTGAAGTGACTAAACTGGTGTTCCAGTTTTCCCCTTTTTAATATTTTTTTAAGTTGAATTTTATGTGTGTGTTTGACATGTATGCATGTAAGTGTATCACCTGCATGCAGTGCTCATGGAGGCCAAAAGAGGGCATTGGTTCCCCTAGAACTAGAGTTACAGTTGTTAGCCATCATGTGGGTGCTGGGAACGAGGCCCAGTTCCTCTGAAGGAACAGCCAGTGCTCTTAACCTCTGAGCCACCTCTCCAGCCCCGCCCCACCCCTTTTGTGCTTTCTGTGCTCTCCTTCCCCTTCTCTGGCATTCCTTCCTCCTTGCCTTTCTTTCCCTGTAACTTTTCCTGTTACCTAATTATCCTGTTTTCACTACAGTAATTCCCTTTATTCCTTTGCCTGTGATGCTTTGA